AAGACTTCAGAATTCAAGAAGGCAAGCAAGGACCTCTAACAAAAAGTTTTCTTTCTGCAACTTTATCATTAATGGTCTTCATGCTGTTCCCACAAACAGTGAACATTTTATAATAAATCCAGATTTTGACGCAGAAAGTGGACACCACTTATCCCAGAACAAAAAAGGTATCCTTTTGAATATGTTCATTTCTCCTTTTTTAAGTTAATAGCCTGTCCTTTCTCATATTCACGTGGCTGACCCACCTGAATAAGATGCTACTGTAGGCAAGCTGTACAAAAATTAAGGTAGCACAAAGAAAGGTACAAAATGTATTTTCTCCCATCTTGGATGGCCTTCAGGAAAGACAGGAGGCTAAAAGAATTTGTGTTTAAGTCCAATAGCATATTGTGTGTCTGCCTGAGCAGTAGGCAGACCAAAAGCACTGTGCATGTGCTCTGAAGCTGTCCAGACACAGTAACCAGAACATAAGCCAACAGCGCAATCCTGTGCCTGAGGTGGCCCTCTAGATCAAAGAGAACAAGACTTGCATTTGTGTTACTGTCTCTGTATTGCTGCTTCAGAACTAAAAATCAGCCACAGTTGTCTCTCTCTCTTCTTTCAAGAAGCTGCAAAGCTATCAAAGTTGAGTTTTGAACAGACTCAGAAATTTCATGTATTATTCAGATTTGAACATTTAAGAGGAAAGTAGACATTTGTCAAACAAGTATGCTACTCTCAATACAGTTCATTAAATACCCAATATAAATTCTATGAAACACTAGCACATCACTTACTCCTTGAACTGCTTGAGCTGGTTGAAAGACTGGATATTTTCCCCTTGTTTTTCTTTTCTATTCCATTTCTAAATGTAGTAACATTGGAAGTACAAATCAAGAATATTGTGTGGCTTGTGGCAAGGCATCTTTCATCACCATTCATAGAGGTCTTATCCTAAAAAAAGAGGCTTTAATATTTTATTACTGATTACTTTGGAAAAGATGTTTACATTTTAATTCAAAAACAGTAATATCTCTTGCTAATTGCAGGGATTTGTTCATTTGGAGGCGGGAGAGGGGGTTGCCCCAAGGACAGAAAAGCTTCAAGTAGTTGTCCATTTCTACATGTGGCTTTTTTCTCTCTCCTTTGTATAGTGTTTTAAGGATCCCATAATCAGACCATACCTTAGATTGTAAATTGATGAATTATGAAAATAACATTAAAAATTTTTCTTTATTTTACTTTATATATTTCACTTCCTGCAGTAGCACAGATCTGGAGACTGATCAGAAATATCCCCCCAAAAGACCTGCAAAGCTCTCCAGAGCAAATCAGACATCTCTGTTTTGTTTCTTAAATGATCAGTTCAATGTCCTGTCTTCTAATTAATGAAGATCTGCCAGCAAACCCACGCTGGTTCAGCGACACAAGTCTTAATAGTCATGTGTGACTGCTTCAGAATTAGCTCTTTTACTTGCATCACTTCTCCATGTTTCATTCTTTGATCAGAACTTGATAGGTAACGCCCTTCAAAGTAACGCAAACTAATTTTTCATTATTGTTACTTTTAGTGATGAAGATAAGGCAGAGCTGGTTCAACACCTCTCAGCAGTGGAAGCAACATTTCACTGCTTGGTGTATAAGAAGGGGCAAGGGCATGGAAGGTAGGAGAAGGCGGGAGGAGGACAACAGGCAGGAAAGCCCTGTATTGCCAGGCTCACTGCTCCTGCTGCTTGGGGGAACAAAAAAGCCAAGGGCCAGGCACATGCTGGGGCTCCACCAGCCCTACCTTCCCCCTCCAGCACCAGCTGCAGCAGCTCTCCTTGGGCTTCAACACAGAGCAAGGGGTCTGCAAGGTCCTGGCCCTTCCTGCTCAGCTCAGCGGCTCCCAGGTCACTGCCTTCTCTGAGTAAAGTCCAGAGCCTCTTCTGAAATAATATATTAACACGTATCCTAGAAAAATACTGTGTTACATTAGAAACATTGCTCATTTTCATAACAACAATTAATATACTTGCCTTGCTTTAGTCTTGGCAGCATGTCGACTACTTTTGTTTAAGGCATAAATTTTGTTTTAAATTCCAGTGAAAGTGCTCTGGTGAAAGTACTTTTGTTTATGCTGCCAATATGCTATACTCATTAGCTATAGCTAATCCAGTTCCTAACTGAATAAACATAATTAGTTAATTTTAAAGTTTTAAAAGTAATCCTGATCATGCTTTCAGGAAGGTGGAAATGGTATTAGAGTTGGTCAGAATAAAATTAAAACAAAACTGGCAAAAAATAAACAATGGGATTTCATAACATTTTCAGAATTGTTTCATTTAACTTCAAAATCACCACAGTTGCTATCTATGTGATACATATATGTGTGTACATGTGTGTGTGCAAGAGGAAGAGATACAAGGACAAAACTAAGCAAAGAAAGCGGTGACAATACAAGATTAACAAAATTCAAGGCTTTTCAGCTACATAGTAGCTTGCTGAAAGCATTAGAATCTACCTGGTTTTACTTTAATGCGTTTCTGTGGGCAAACTTTTAAAAGCATGCAAGAATAACGAAGGAGAAGCTTTTGATCCATCCCTTCTTTACATTTTAAAAACTTCCTAATGAGAAATAAATGATCCGATTTAAAACCCAGCATCTCTAACACTGTATCCAGAATTCTGTAGACAGCAATGATGAGAGGCATTTGACAGCGGCCTGCATCGGTGTCTCAGGCAGAACAGCCAGCGTGTCGCAAAACACCACTTCAGCCTCTTATCTCCAGCAATCTGCAACTGCAGATCAGAATCTGGGCTGATGGCCTCTCTACAGTTGTCAAAACAAATTTAAAAATAGGAAAGCTATTGGAAAATGTATTTGTTTTACTGAATTCTTGGGAAAACTTGGATAATATATTCCAGGCCAAACACAAAGCAAAATATCTCATCTGCTGTTTAAGAAGTGGTGTTTAATTAACTATTGAATTCCACTCAGTTATTCAAGGCAAAAAATGGTCAGTATTGATGGGACAGATGTTTCACCATTTTCATTGCCTGAACTGTAGGAAGAATCCCAGCGATGAGTAAACTAGAACAAGCAGATTCAGTAGCGGTACCATCAGATAAAGGATTTTGATTTTTGCATATTGATCCAGATAAATATATACAATACAAATTATAAAGTCAGCTTTAAAGATACATCACCGTATAAGCGACGTAACTCCAATAGTGACTTAACATACAGTTCATTTTTTTGACCTGTTATCATTATATTTTTCTGGGTTTTAATCTCATCATATTTATTTGGTAGTGATTTACTGTTCCACGTACATAATATAAACACTATTTTTTGTAACATATATAGAACATTAAAATTCAGACATAGGGCTGTCATCAATAACGCGTTGTTTGTTGTACCTTAATATTCAAATTTTCACACTATAATTCAGAAACTGGACAACATCATTAAATCCATAGGTCTTAGTAAAAACCTTTGATTGCTAAAGGAATCACTGAAAAAAAAAATTATTTAACTGTTCTCTTTCAGTTGCATCTATGAGTTTTTAACACACTGCGTTATTATTTGGCCCACTTGGACAGAGAACATTAGAGAAAGCAGTTGTCAGTGAGTCCTTGTAGAGTGAGCAAATTATTTTTCTGAAAGCAAGCCTGTTCAGAGAAGATTACCTGTAAGGTTGCTGGTGCATAAAATTGGACAGATTTATGTAGAATTGCATCACTTAAGAACTTGGACTGTTTCAATTTTAGTTCTCATAATATTTGGGTTGCTTTTAAAAATAAGTAAATTAACATTTATAAAACTATTCTTTTTTGTAGCAATAAGTATCAAAGTTTAACGTAAAATTAACAATATTTTCCCTATTCTGAATTATTTAGGGTATTTCCAGGCTAAGGTATGCATAAACGGCATATAATGTTAAATCTGCTTTTAAACCAAATAATCTTTTCCCTAATTCTCCGAGTGAGAATTTTTACTGTTAAGTACTGCCTAGATAGTAGGCACAAGATCTTTACTAAAATTGCCTCTCCTATGGATGACAGAGCTGTAATTTAGCACATATTCTACTAGTGATATCATCTGGAATAAAACACAGATTAACGCATTTAAGTAGTACATTCCTCATATCTCTACATATTTACCCAGTGAAATATTTCCATTCACATTAAGTAATACAAAGTAAAGTTGTCAGTTTTTCAAATATGATAATATTATTCAGCTCTAAAACTTTTGCCTGTATTGTTTTCTCTTAACTCTTTTGTCAAATCTGACTTCTGATGTTATTATATCAAACTACAATATCTAGCTAAGATAGTTTTAAGATACCAGTTACCCTTGTACCAAAATAGCAAATCTAATTAAGAAGAAATATTTTAACTGTAATGGAAATGACAACATTATCTTTTATTTCCATATGTATATACCATATAATCCCCATCAAATAACATGCTGAATTTCCCATCTGTGCTTGCCTTTTCTTTTTTGCATAGTATTTTCAGATCATTAATACATGCAGTTCTTGATTATGAAGTCCTGCCCTCTCATCCAGATCTTTTTACTTCAGCAAAGCCACGTTGCATTTTTAACCACTGTTCATGCTTTCTGAAAGCTCTAGATACGTTGCCCCTTTCAAATAACAACACACCCACCTACAGTTCCAGTTCAGTAGTAACTATGAAAATGCAGACACTGGCACAAGGCAGGTATTAATATTCGTGTTATTTAGGTATTAATCGTTATTCATATTATTTCATTAATTAATATTCTCATAATCAGTGGTCTGAAGTGAATGATATGGCTTTCCAAGACTACAGCCTAAAAAAAAAAAAACAAGAAAATATCAACCAAAATAAAAAATTCATACTTGAAGTGTTAAAAAAAACACATCCCCTGTTTACACGTCTCAAGAAGAGGAGGGAGGTAATGTTTTAATTCTGGTTTTAGTGCAGAGTTTCTCCTGTAGGTGAACTTATATTTATTCTGCTTTTCTTTCCCTCCCTCCCCTGCTATCTTGCAGCAAACGTATGTGACAATGAACTACTGCATTGCCAGAATGGAGGAACATGCATCAACAACGTGCGATGCCAGTGCCCTCCGGCTTACACTGGCATTTTATGTGAGAAATTGAAGTGTGAAAGGGATCCAGGAGGCTGCAGCCAAAACTCCGGCCAGGAGCCAATATCACACAGGCCTCTCTTACTGCTGACCGCCCTACTAGGAGCAACTGGACTTTGCGTATGCTAAACTCCCTGTGGTTGATGGCATCACATTCAGACTGCTTCAGATGAACGTGCCACATGAAAACACAACAAAATCCAAGCGTTTGCTCCTGAAATTTAAAAAGGAAAAAAAGAGAGAAAAAATAACCACGTACAAACTAAGAAGGCCTAACTGAACTAAGCCATATTAATCAGTTACAGACAGGGCTCTGAGTCAAGACTCTTCACCTCTGACTCCAGACAAGTTGGCAGCTGCCTATTCTGTCAAATCAACACTAGCTGCAAAGCTGACACAGGACTGAAACAGTTTTGACAGCCCCCAGAATGGGAAGAGAAGTTAAAAAACATTTGCTACTCCTATATGGTGCGCTGCTGTACCTCCGCCCGGCGTGTGGACCGACCAAATAAAGGCATTCTTTGCTGTCAGTGCATTGTGGGTATAAGGAAATCTGTAAAAGCTGCCATATTGGCCTGCTTCAGTCCCCGAATCCTTTCCAACCTGTGCTTTAGTGAACGTTGCTCTGTAACCCTTGTTGGTTGAAAGATTTCTTTGTCTGATGTTAGTGATGCACATGTGTAACAGCCCCTTCAATAAAACTCAAGCCAGTCATATCCTTGTATACCTTAGCAGCACTGCATCAGTAAGATGCTGTGTTCACCTACTGTACAAGAGTGGCTATAGGACAAAAAGTGTATTTATCCTTTTGTATTCAAATGAAGTTATTTTTCTTGAAATAATGTACAATGTAGATTTTTTGTATTATTGCCTATTTGTGTTACCAGACAATTTGTTAATGTATTTAATTCTAATCAGATAAGAGAAAAAATATTACTTTTTATTTAGTCCTTTTCTTTTTCCTTTCATTTAATTGTGCAGAGATTTCTCTGTATGGGCAACGTGCTGGCATCAAAGAATATCAGTTTACATATATAACGAGTGTAATAAGATTCCACCAAAGGACATTCTAAATGTTTTCTTGTTGCTTTAACACTGGAAAAATTTCAAAGAATAAAAATTCCTGCATAAACAGTTCCAGGGTGACATATTGCTATTTCTTGAGGCCTTTTTAGAAAACAAACAAAAAAATTTGATCATTTTACCACCTAGTATGTGGAAGAAAAACAAGTTCAACAGAAATTACATCATAACAATCTAACCTGGTTTTATTTTTACTACTGTCATTATTTTTGCAAACAATTTTAAACATAAAAGGCATCATTTGTTTGAGGAAGATTTCATCAAATCCCAAGCTTGGAAAATGTATGAAAAGTTGAATAGTTCTCATCTTTGTTCTCTCAATTCATCACAGAAATTATTCCAAGACTAATTTACAAGGTATTACAGAAGCTAGTCTTTAATTCATACCATTTTGTGGATTCTGGCAGTAATGAAGCAGATACAGCCACAGCTTATGTTGTTTCTCCAAAAGCTTCATTAAAATGATATGTTTATATATATACTAGTCTGCCTAAGAAACTGCAAAAACAGCAGCAATCGCCAAAAAAAAGCCAAGATTTAACTTTTAATAAAGTCAAATTTAATATTTAGAAGGAATGTCAAAATATACAGCAGTGAGTAGATAAAAAGCGCTGCTCCAGCAAATAAAGTTTGTTTCAAGTATTGCCCAAGGTGTAATAAATTCTTGTTTCTGCCTTTTATTAGGCCAATTACCGAGTGTGACAGAAAAGGATAGCAAGAATAGAGAGGCAAGCCAAAACCACTGCAGTGTTTCAAAGTCCTGGGGAAAAAAATAAAAAATAAAAAATAAAAAGGTAGCAAGACGGTGTGAATTCTTTTCCTGTCAATGTTCATCATAATGGCTATAAATATTTTACCAACATAATAGCCTAGTATCGAAAACAATTAATAAGCAAAAGAAAAATTCCTGCGAGAAATAAATTCTACCTGGCTGCCTCTTCCAAATGGTGAACAGAGCAGAATTTAGGGCACTGCCCTCTTGGATAAGCTCTTTCTGCTAAGGAAGCAAGTTTTGCAGGCCAGTACCCAGCCTCCAGAAATGGGTAGGCAAATCAGATCTTCATTTCTAAAAGAATCCTGTGAAGATGATGAAGACAATAAGCTGGTGCTTGTTCAGGCTGTCACCTTGGCCCTTTGTGTAGAATGTTTGCTATTCACACTGCCACTCTCTTTCGGTGGGCTAAATAAGATAAGGCAAAGATAAATTAAGAGCTTGGCTGGTTGCCAGCCATGGCCCACATGACATTGCAGGTATATATTAGAAGGTTGTTCATGACAATAAACAGAAAAATCATATTGCAAACTCGATTGGGAATATAAATGCTAATACAGGTGACATGCAGAGCTGGAGATTACCTATAATTAAGTGGATTTCTGATATTAAAATGTGGAATTTAAGTTTTCTTAAAGCTTATGAGCACAGACCAAATTCAGATTGTATAATTATTGGAAAAGATGTGCTTTAAGTGTCATTATAAACTCAAGGCTTTGTGAAAGTGCTAAGAAAGCGTGTTATGCACGTTTGGTTAGAAGGGATTCTGCCAGCAGTGCTTAAGTATAATGGATATCAGATCACAATCAATTCAGCTGCATTCCAATTTCATATACTTATGATCTTCTAAACCAGGGCAGAGTATATGGCTTTCCACATATTTAGCTACCATTTCGTGCATTTTATACTCCCTCATCTATTACTAAAGTCACAATTTGATACAGGAATACATTCAGTGGAAAGTTTTCTTATCAATCGTCCTTTTCTTCAGCTTCATTATTTTTTCCCTTTAACACTACAGAACTTCACTAATTGAAAATTTTGAATATAAGTTTCTGCTACTGTATTCCAAGTATATTTGTAAAATTATGTGTGCATCTTTGAGAGAGGAGTAGATTTACATCACTCAGCGTAGCTTTACCTGCTTTTTTATTTAATTCAGTGGAAAATGAAGGCAGAACCTATTCCCCATTTCAGAAGCTGTGAAGAACAGATTCCTTTTCCTGAAGATATGGTAGGATCTTTCCATGACAACATGCAGTCACAATATCTGCTTTATGTTTCACCCAAAAATATATACCCCTTCGAACATATTCTAGGTTTCTTGGAGTGGGTATCCTGTCCTTGTGAATGCCTGTAAAATAGCAAACACATACACGATACTGAACAAATAACAAGAGAAACATGATCATTAACACGATTTTGGTTCTGTATCAAAATGCAGCAGAAGGAACCTACTGTGCAATTATTTCCTGTATGATATTTCTTTCCTGGAAGGTTTACCATCCAAGAACTGACCAGGCTTCACATTGCTTAGTTGTGCAGATTATAGTTCAGAGTACAATGACCTTAAACCTAGCATTCATAATTAAATTTATGCAGTTACATTAGTTCCAGTTGTTTTGCTAAATCAGTCAGTCCAAGTCAGCTTGCAATTCCTGTGTTCCTAACTAGAGAATTGGTTCCGATCCAGGATCGACATGTGTTTAACATCTGAAAATGTGGCAGCTTATGAGAAGATGTTGCTCCCTGACAAGGGAGCTGCAGAAATTTCCACTTCAAGCTAGCCATCTTTTTCAAAGGGACATTAACAGACAGGCATCTGTCTTAGCACTGCATAACTGTTTCAGAAACAAACTATCCAAAGGAAAAAATAAAAATAAAAAATCTGGTCAGACACAAATTGACCCCAGATAGTGCCCCGAAATGATAATTGATCCAATACTTTATCATAACTGAGCCACAGATAAGAAGTTCTTTCCTATAGCGAAAAGAACAATAATGTGCAAAAGACTCCTCAAATTTAGAAAGAACTCCTCCACTTGCATATAATTTTATACATCTTTCTCATAACTCCAAGACGCCAGGGGGATTTGTTATAGCCTCATTGGGATTCTAGGTTTATTAAACCATTGGATTAACTAGATTCATCCATGCATGCGGTTTATTCACCTGTGAGAAATTTGAGTAATATTTTTCATAAAATATGCAAGACCAGATTTTCAGCCAATCTCCAGCCCAGCCTTCATGTTTGTCCTTGCAAATGCAAAGTTACAGATGTAAATGTTAAGACATAGTCAATCAACTAATTCCTAAGAAAAACTGTAAATTTAATTATTTATGGATGCAAACATTCATCCATCAAAATGCAGACCTGGCATTATAAATCAGAAATTTTACATTAACCAACTTGATACTGTTCCCACCATCATACCTCCTCTTCTTTCTAATACCGTAAGAAGTGTATGCAAAACAAACAAGCAGAAGAGCAGCATTTTCCACCATATGGTGCATTTCATTTAATGAAATGAAAGTTCATCACCAGTACAGTATGTTCACCAAGACACCATTTTTGCCACAACATACAACAGATAAAATTCCAGTACAAAGCATATGTTTCCCTTCATTGTTTTTCTGGCTATCATTATCTATACAGACCCAAACATATACACGATGAATCATAGAATTGTTTAGGTTGGAAAGGACTTTTGAGATCATCGAGTCCAACCGTAAACATAGCACGGTCAAGTCCACTTGAAATACCGCTTAAGAAATTTTACAGCCTTAAAGACCACAGAGCAGACTAATGTTAGACCTAAAGAGATTGTAAAGGCTTCGGGGTTGAATTCCTGCATACATTGCTAGCTAATACTCATTTCTGAGAAGGATCAGGATAAAGATCACATCATGGAAGTGCACTGAATCAGAGTTTCACAGCAGCCAGTAGAACCAAAGTGACAGCCTAGTTACAGAAAGCACAACAGGATAGTGTTAGTCCTGCATCTGTCAGCAGGGGCAACCACATCTCGCCCTGGGACACTCCCAGGTATCACTCACCCATCAAAACTTTTGCATGTGTGTTTACAAATGTGCACATTCTAGTTACACTTGCTAAGACACCTGTTACTTACGCAATGCTGCTGAATGGAGTTGCTGTACACATGTTCAAGTGTACTGTTGTCACTGGAAATACAACTTTTGTACTAGAAGTGAACCATTGTTGAGAAATGGAGGGCCAGGAGTGGGATTTGGGTCTATTGCTTGT